AATAATAATAAAAAAACGACCTTGAATGGGTTCTCATCTGTCTCTAATGGAGCAGTGGGAAGGTCCATGCAGGAACAGTGGGAACAGTCACGTGATGGATGAGATCATCCCAACAAAAGAAACAGGACTAGAAAACTCAATTTTGCGACGATCTAAAAAAGGGGGCAGGAATAGTTTTCATATCCCCCCCCCCCACCTTGGGGCAGAGGGCTTGGGTGGGGTGGGACTTCGGAGATCTTCTGCTCACAGGGAAGCAGGTGGGGGATATCTTCAGAGTTTCTCTGGGGATGGGACCCAGATGTAGTGCCCGGACTGGTCCTCAATGATCTGTTTGATTTTGCTGTAAATCTCTTCAAGAGAGTCTCCTTGTACAATGGCTGGAAGAGGACACAACAAGCAAGACTTTGAGCATCAGGCAGCACTGTACCTTCCCTTGCCACAAGTTTCAGGAAAGGCCTTTGCTCTGCACCAAAGGGGCAGATGTAGTGCAGCCACCAATTAATGAACAACCCATGTCAAAGGAGCTCTAACAGGTGCATGATGACACAGAGGGTTAACCCAGCATGTCCAAGGGGATTAGTGAGAGCTGATCCTGTGCTGGCAGAGCTCCTCATGTGTGTGACATGCCAGCCAGGTTCTCCACAACTGCTGCTAATCAGCTTTGCCAACTGTGTCACACCACTGCACCGAGGCTACAGGAAGCTGGCCCTGGCACTGCTGCACTGAATGGGAAGGCCTCATGCAGATTAGCTGGTATGCACTGAGCATCTGCCCTGAGGTGCCGTATTTGTCCACCCCCTCTGGTCGGCTGCTCAGGGCTCCTTATGTTTGTTGCGTCCTCTGCTGTGCGGTAGAATCGCAGCACTGTCAGGCTGGAAAAGACCAGCTTATGGCTGTCACCCCCAGCAGTAACTCTCGCCCAAAGACCAGCGACAGTCTTGCTGCTTAGTACGGACACAATACTGTGCTTCCTACATCAGAGGAAGATGCACGTGGAGGGCCAAAGCCTTCTGGTAATTTCAGCCTGCCTCTGTAGCCCAGCCAGGACCATCCTCCAGCATCTCTGTTCCCTCACTAGACGTTCCTGGCACAGAACTTGCTACAGCGACCATCTCTCTGCCCATTACCTACTTTCAACAATGAGTTTCAAAGAGTGTTCCTTCCCCAGGTCAACTTCAAACTCACTGTCCAAGCACACAACTGCATGCTGAGGGTCTGACAAAACTGCAGCATGTGCTTCCTTTGTGCTTTTCCTGGAAGAGCAGCTGGCAGCTCTAGAACTGCTGCCCGGGACAGGAGGCCTGGGGAAAGCTTTTACACAGTTTGTATCCATGCATTTCCTCAGCTGAGATCCATTTTTTTTAAAACATTCTGCTTGGGATTTTTCCCAGTAGCTGTTAGATGGGTAATACAGGGTTTGGCAGGATTATCACTCCTCAACTTTAGGAGAAACAGTTACTGCGCTGGAGGAAAGATGGAAGACCAGTTTCTCTGCCTTTTTGCCTGTCCATGGTTATCCAGAATTAAACATTACAAACATTGGTTCTTTAATGCACAGGGACGTCTGTGTCACAAGCAGGTCATCTCTGCTGGCACAAAGTGCCAGGCATCCCCTGACTGGCTCTTCAGCAAAGACTACTTTGGAAGCCAGCCAAACTTCCAGTTTTTTTCTGGGAGATGTTTTGAAATAACTCAGGATAGTTTACGCCATTTAGGTCACTAATTTTTTATCTTTCCTCTTTGAAACAACTCTTTTTGAAAACGCTCCTCTTTCGCCTGTGCAGTTTTATTTCCTGTAGCCTTGTAGCACCCTGAATCTATGCTACGCTTTCCCTGCCTGCAGATTTTTTTCTTTTTTTATTATTATTAAAGTTGGTGATAAGCTTTCACAAACTCAGAAAATCCTGCCTGACAACTTGTCTACTTCTCCAGAGCTGGTTTACTCTTATCCACTGATCTTGAAGCAGTTCCTTTGCAGAGCCCTGCTGGCAAAGTGCCATTTCCTTTTTGCTTTGCTGAAGCTGGACTTTTTCCCATGACCCTGCAGTAAGCCAGTGCTGGTAGAGAGGTCACAGCTGCCAGCTGGAAAAATAAAATAAATCAGATACAAGCCTGTTCAGGACACTCACCTGTAAAATACTCTCCAAACTCTTGCTCAAGTTTCATGGCTTTGTCAAAGACCTTGTTGGCCTGTTCGTACGTCTGTCTCCGGTTCATCTCCCTGCCATGTACAAAAACCCAGAAACTTAGCTCTTTCTCTTAGCAATGAACAGAAGCAAAAATCCCCCGTGGAACCAACGTGCCTGGGAAGCCTCTGCACACCAGGAAAGGAAGCTCTGTAGGGCCCAGCTCTCAAAGGCAGGATCCTGCCCCACACCTCCTCTGATGCCTTGGCATTTCATCTCAACTTCCAACAGTTCTTCCCATCACCCACCCCCCCCCTTTCACCATAGCACAGAAGTGGACTCAAATGCAGACCTCTGAATTTGCAAGACTGCTGCAGAAGTCTCCCTGCTTTTCCAAAGCCTGTCATCACCCTTCTAGCCTAGGTTGCCTCATCTTCATCAACATCCAAATAAGCAATTTGACCCCTTCTGGCTTGAGAAGGGGTTTTCCCAGTCCCGTCGGTGCCAGCAGAGTCTCTTCTGATCTCAGAGTCCATCTCTAGCTACCGAATCTCCTCACAGATAATACTCTCTGCTGCTGCTTGGAAAAGTTGCAAGTTCAGCTCTTGCATCCTTTCCAGCCTGCGCTTCCTAGGGCCAGGAGCAGCAGGACAAGCAGAAGTTCCTCCTTAGGCACAAAGGAAATGTCTCCTCTCTGCTCCCCAGGGCTGTCCTGGCTCAGCCACTGTCCAGCTGTGATCCACCACTACAGGCTGTCAGCAACTCTGCTGGCTGGATTCAGGGCCCCAGTGAGCAGGTTACATCAGGCACATAAGGGATCATTTTTAGATTTCCCATGGATAATCCTTTTAGGGGCGAATGAAGGGCTTTAAGCTGGAGCAATCCATGGGCCCTGCTCCTCTTAACAAGGGACAAGTTCAGCACCAGCAGCAACCTCCGCTGCTTTCTAAAAGGCAGGGGCAGCAGACATACAAACCCCCGATGCACCAGAGCTGCTCGCCCTGGAGAGGCACAGAAGATGTGGCATTGCACTTACATGAGCGCTTCAACGGATTTTGGTTTGATGAAAATGGCAATGGGATAAAGTTGTGCTTGTTGCAACCTCTTGATAGCATTGCCAGACACATCCAGGATGCAGTGTTTCCCCTGGAAAGGAGACAATTGGAATCAGACCTACCCACACAGTCTACGCCGTGCAGAAAATAGCTTGCTTATACAGATGTGCTTACAAAAGAGAGGAGCCACAGAGATGCAACACCAGTCCTGAGACACAAGCAAAGTCCCAGTGGCCTTACGTTCCTGCCTGCTTAGAGTAGGGCAGCAGCAATGCAAAGTGACGGAACCTTTCTCTGAACACATGAAACAATTTACAAGCCGTTGGTACACTGCATTACTCCTGTGGAGGAAATGCCACTGCTTCGAGGAGTGCAGTCAGGCACCTTTGCCCTGTGAGCTCCCGAGCACAAGGCTGGTGTCGCCAGTGCCAGGCTTTCAGGTGGAGTTTGGATGACAGAGGTATGACACCAAGGTGGAGTAATGCGGCTGAGGAAAGCAGCCATGTGGCTTGGCAGGACTCTGGAAGGAGGAGAGGCTTGTGCCATGCTTGTTTAATGTGGTTACAGTCCTTTGTTAACAATATGAGAGGAGGGTAACTGTGTCCTGGTCCCAGGAATCCCCCCCGACACTCACCCTCTCTGCCACTGCCCGCACTGACTGAATGCTGGTCCCGTAGAGATTGTCGTTGAACTGCCCAGCCTCTATGAACTTGTTGTCCTGGATGTCTTTCTCCATCTGTTCACGGGATACGACAAAGTGGTAGTCTTGTCCATCCACCTCATTCTCACGCCGAGGCCTGGTAGTGTCTGAAGGAGAGCAGGCATCATGAATGAACTCGGAGCGATGCACACCAAATCTCCTGGGAGGGAGATAACCCACCCATGTTCCCAGCTCCCTCCCCATGCTGCGGGGGAGGGGGTCCCTTAGACCCTGCAAGTAGCAGAGCCACTGCTCTCCCCTCCCTCCAGCAAGGGCACCAAGTGCCAGCTGGGACTTACGTGGCACGCAGGAACCAAACTTGTGTGGGAATTCGGAGATGAGGTCATCGTTAATTCGGTCCTTTGTCGGCCCCAGGATGATCACTGGCCTCGCATAGTGAACTGCGAACAAGAGCCACAACCTGAGGCCCCGTCTGTGCTGCAGGCAGCTGACCCTATGGCCACTTTTGGCATCAACCTGCCCTCTCCCTGCTGGCAGTGTGTGCTCCTGCTCACATGGGCACCCAAAGGTGCCTCTTCTGTGCAAGTTTATCTCCTCCTGGTCACATCTCCTTCCCATCTGACTGACACCATCTGATCAGCCCTGGGAAGGTGCTGCAGGTCTCTGGGGTTGCAGATGAGCAAAGCTACTCCCTTGCTCAGGGCAGGAGCCAGACAAGCGAGACAGCTGGGCGAGGATGCCACAGAGCTGGGGGAGTGATGGCAGCCTAAGAGTCTGATCCAGCTTCTGGGAAGGAGAGACCACTGAGGCTGGGACTATTCAGCCTGTGAAAGGGTCTGCAGGGATTGAGCATCAAACAGGGTTAAATGCTGGGAGGTTGCTCTGCAGCAGTGACCTGGCCTGAGGCAGGGGGGGATAATCCCATCCTCAGCTGGGGACTAAAGCCCAGCTTAATTTTAGCTCTGGATCTCTCCCTTGGTCTTCAGACCAGGTCACAAGTCTTTTCTGTTGGTTAAAAAGGGGTGATCAAGGCCAGGGAAAGCCCCGTGAAGTGGTGTGCATGCCTGGCACCCCTGCTGCAGGCAACGGACAAGAAGCTCCACTTGTGTGGAGCATTGTGCTGATATAGCACAGGAGGGCACATCGGTTGCCCTGGCTGTGTGAGGGACACAGGTGCCCATGCAGGAGTGGGCACAGGGCAGCTCAGTGCCAGGACTTACTTTCTTGCCGCGTCACTGGCTCGTACGACAGGATGGTGTCCTCTTGTCCTTCTGCAACAGAGCCAGGGAGAGGCCCGTGAGTGCTTGCAGCAGCTCTCAGCTTCTCTGCACCCATGAGGGGCTGGCTCCTGCCCCCACCAGCCTCCCATAGCCCTGGGGACACCTCCAGGCTGCCCTCATCATGCCACCAGCTGACGTGAAGTGTCACGGACATGCAGTTACCAGCCCTTGATCCACATTAATT